TGATCCTAGTGTGGCATGAAACGTCAATTGTGGTTGCAGTGCTGGTTATCTAATTTGATAAACAATACATATGTACTGCTATTATACAGCGGTCACGTCGGGTTAACGTCAGTTGTAGCTGTATATATAGTTGCCATGCGCTGAAGGTTATTTATGCAGCAGTGTCCAGGGCTACCATCTTAGCGAGCACCAGCGCTTCATATCAGCTTATCGCTTTTGGCGACGCTAATACTCATGTTCCTGTTGACGTCGTTGCACAAGTGGAAGCAACTGTTTATATAAACACCTGCAACTCTTCAACATACGTCTGTTCGTGCAACATTTGTTCGTATATTTCCAGTCATTTCATAACGTGTCGCTCAATTAAAAAAAATGACAACACGCTCACTTTCCCCCCGCATGTATCGCATAACGTCGATTCCCAAGGTACGGGGGATCAAGTTTGCTGAATTTTTTATCTGTATATTCTTTTCTTTCTCCTCCTTTGCCTTTTTATTTCTGCACTCTTCGTATTTCTGTCCGGCCCGGTGTTATAGCGATTAGGATGCTCGGCTGCTGGCCCGAAGGTTCCGGGTTCGATCCCTGACCTGGCGGTCGCATTGTGATGGAGGTGATGTGGTAGAAGACTGTGCACTGTGCGAGGTCGGTGCACGTCAAAGAACACCGGGTGGTCAAAATTTCCGCGGCACTCCACTACAACTCCAACCTAATGGTGTTTCGGGATGTTCTCCTCACTTTCGACGAGGTGACCAAACATTATCAGCTGGACAGAAGGATTTGCCCCCTTCCTCATATGCAACTTTGTAGGGTCCAGGCATCTAGCCTTCGCATGCTTCAGACCAGGTCGTACCCCAGTCTTCGTTCCCATGCACAGCCAGTTTATTGAAAGCATTAATCCAACATGCCCAGCTTTTTGTGGTGCCGTATCTACGTTAGAACACATGCTCTGGCAGTGCCCCTCATCGCGCGATTCTCAGCACATGACCGAAGAGGAATGGAGCTCTAGCGCTCAGGAGCTTAGAACTCGCACATAATCTCTGGGCTGTCCAAAGGGCCCACGACGCGGCGGTGAAGCTCGGCCTACGCGTTCCGACGTGGGAGCGGCCCGCTGCTCTACCTCCTTGAGGTAGTGTTCCTCAGGACCTTAATAAAGTTCTGTGTCTGCAATACCTGCAAGACCAATGTTCGTGTTTTACAGGCAGTACAAGCCCAAGCGCTGAGAGTGTGCCTCGGTCTGCCCAGATGTACGTCAACAGAAGCAACAATTGCAATTGCTGGTGACTATCCGATACAAACTCACATTGTTGTAGAAGTCCTGAGAACGCACATCCGATACTTCGCACGTGCCCCCGGCCATCACCTTGCACTGTTGCCTTCAGAGAGGCGCCAAGCATCGTTCACCAAAATTATCGTGAAATACAACGATAAACTTCCCTCGGGCTTCACTCGGGCATCTAAACCATCCATACCACCTTGGTGTCTTATTCGACCCACAGTGCATCTTAGTGTACCAGGGATCCGGAGGAAATCTGAGTTTTCGTCGCCCGTGCTGAAATAACTGTCTCTCCTTCTTTTGCACGAGAAATATTCAGACAGCATACATGTATACACCGATGGTTCCACGAACCACCAGTGTTCGTCAGGGGCAGTAGTTATCCCAGCAAGAGGTGTTACCATCAGCTTTAGGACTGACCACTCCACGCAATCTGCAGCCGCGGAACTGGCTGCTTTGCGCGCTACACTTTGTGTGGTCATTCGAGAACCACCGCAACAATGGTCGATTTTCAGCGACTCAAGGGCTGCCCTACAATCTGTGCTCTCAGCACTGCGTCGCGGCCCGTACGCACAGCTTGTTTTCGAAATTCGATGCCTTCTCCACACTTTACTCGAGAAAGGGCATCATGTGACGCTTCAGCGGCTGCCAAGTCACTGCGGCATCATAGGGAACGAACATGCCGATACTGCCGCACGGGCAGCCCTTGAAGGAACACGAGAAGAAGCCATACCACTTTCGAGGATTGATGCTGCCAGTAATCTTCGACAACTTGCGCGTGAAATCACGTTTTCACTATGGTGCCCACCAAGCATCGATACGAATCGTCAACACCACCTGTCCTCTTTGATGGCTCTCCGCATGCCCACTGGACTCGACCGAAGAGAAGCCACCCTTCTTCATCGCTTATGGCTAGGAGTGGCATTTACAAAATCTTACTCCTTCGTCATAGGAATGGCCGACAACGCTCTCTGCGATGCCTGTCATTGCAAAGAGACGCTACACCACATCCTGTGTGACTGTCCACCGTATGAAATCCAGAGACGGTCACTGGCGTCTGCTTCTGCGCGCATAGACAACAGCCAAATGTCTGTGGACACTATTCTGTCAAGTGCCCGAGAGAAGACCTTGCAACAGAAGGCGACGAAGGCTCTGTTGAAATTCCTACGCGACACTGACTTGAACAAGCGACTGTAACAGCAATGTCACACACCGCGAAAGACAAGACTGGACTATGACTGAGTGTGCGCGCGGTGCTGCCGATTGTGCTGTTTCTATCTTCCCTCTCTGCTCTCTTTCATCTCTCCCATGCGCAGGGTAGCAAACCGGCTGCCTATAGGCTGGTTAACCTCCTTGCCTTTCTTTTCCCTCTATTTTCCTTCCTTCCTTGTGTCTGCCTGTCTCAACTATACGGAGTCTCTAGTAATCATATCGTGGGCTTGAAACGTTAAACCCCAGATATGTTTTATTATATCTCTCCATTTCTGTCTTTCCCAATGTGTAACTGCTATGCATTACTCTCTAGCTTTTCCTCGTACTCACCTTGACACCCCCTTCCTATCCTCTTGCCGGGGTAGCAGATTGGTTTAAACGCTCACCCTCGGATCGTGGGCGTGCGGGTCTGAACCCCAACTGCCTCAAAAGCAGCTCTTATTCGCCAAGATTTTCTTTTTTTCTTTCTTCGCTCTCTCCCTCAACCTTACCTCCCCTTCACTCTGTGCGTCTCATATATTTTTCGCCACTGGTTTCTTAACAGGCCATATGCATCAACAATGGACTCTTAAGGCCTACAATACCGAACACAACAGTAACAATATCAATACAGTCGACCAACATATGAGTGATTACATTATTATAATTTGTTCAGTAAGCCAGAGGCTCAACCCTGGAAAGCCAGTCAGGTGCAAAAATTTGTACGTGTTCGGGAGGTGAAGCCAAAGGGGGCAATAGAGCACGTGCCGGTTTATGCATCATGATAATTTTGGAACATGACATTTTACGCAAAGCTATATAGAACAGGTTTGCTAGCGTTTCTGTTCAAATCTGAACACTATCCTGCTCATTCGGCAGGAGGCCTTGAACTTATCTTTCTAGCCTGTTCTATGAACTGTACAGTGCGACCGAATACAGCCACAAACTGCTTAGAAACTTCAACTAAGTCTCAGTCTGTGGGCATGCGCGCAGGGGGCGCGCCGGCCCCTTAGTTACCCAAGCGGGGAATGAGGGGGTGCTAAATATTGTCACGCGTTAGGAGGCCCCATCTGCAGCGCCAGCGAAGAAATTTGGCGTTCGTATTGTCGGCAAGGTACAATAAAGCGGCGTTGTGCCATCCGTATCAGTTGGATTGCTGTCGGTAGGGCTGGTAGGAGCCGCTATGTTGTCTGGGTGCAGTCCAGTATTCCGCATACATTGACCCGATAGAGGGGGGGGGGGGGGGAATGTTGCAAATAACTTAGCTACACCCACCCTCCCCGCCACCACCGACACCTGATGAGGTTCCCTGCATACGCTTATGTCTCAGACCTAATGGTCTCAAAACTTTTGACACCGACTGTACGCTTACGCATCGTGTCTACAGTTCGCCTCTTCCTGTCACTGCATGGTAGACTATTATACATAGTAGTGCGTCCTCCGGTAACTTATTTCCTCCTTTTTCTAGACCTCTTCATTGCACAGCTGAACTTCGCTATAACAAACACACATAGATATAGCGAATTATCGGTTGTAACGAACTAAATGCGATCGTTGGCTGGTCAAGCTTCATTTCAGCAACAGTTATTCTTTCCACAACGAAAACAAAACACGATGACTGCCATCATACGGGCTGCAACGAAGAAATATTTCGTGCTAAACTTGACAAGTGGCATAAAAAGCAAAATAAATATTCACCAGCACGTTTTTTTATGTGGATGTAATATTAATAAAAATATGGTTTTAAACCCGGCGAGGAAAAGTTCTAACATGTTGGTCGTCTCATGCTCAACAAATAGAGCGTTTTACTTGTGGTGAATTAGAATTTCAGTAGAATACAAGCGATAACTTGTGAGATAAGTCGCGTTTAAAAATTTGTCATAGAACACGGCCGCCCACCGATCGAACGGTCGTGTATAAGCCGGCATAACAAGTTCGTTATAATACAGGAAGAATCGATGTGAGGGTAATATGTTCATTTAGCTTTGAAGTAGGTCTTCGCGGCAGTGCGGATTTTTTTTTTTTTTTCGAAAAAGGTGCTCACGGTGCAACACCAGCCACCTTTACAAAGGCTTACTTGCGGATTAATACACATTTCTTAGTTCATTTTAAATACTTCAAAGTTTTCAATAATTTGTATTCAAATTGAAGTGAATTCGAATACACTGATATTCGTTCAAATATTTGCTAAACATAACTAAAGGAAATAACAAAGTAGCCTAAGGTCGCAAAGCGACTTCATTATAAGTTTCAGCATACTATATTACCTCTGTTGAAACACACGCAATGCATGCCGGTGACATATACGTAGTACATCAACAATCCGCGACACCTTCACAGCGTTGAGCGTTGTGCTCAAGTTCCCAGTTACGTAGCCATCATCGCTAATCTCTTTCTTCATACATTGTCTACCTAGGTGTAAGAACACCTACTTTTAACTATACCCTGCAACGAGCCCGACAGCATGCGATAACACTAAGCTGTTCATATTGCAGCTGGCACTGCGGAAGCTTTTCGCAGCCACGACAAAGGGAAATGAAACCTGCAATGAAACAAGCTTTTACTTCATCACAACGAGTCAAGCAGTATTTACAATTGCTCCATGCAAATATTAAACAAAAAAAAGTCACACCTGTGCAAGCCATCGCGAATACGTGCAAATCGTAAATAAGGGTACATGAGGAAATTCATTTGTCTTCATTTTTTGGCACAGGCCATGGTTCCAAATATGAAAAGAAAGCAGCGAACAAAGCGAGAATGGTTGCTCACAAAACCTCTCAAATTCGAAACGTGTTTGCCCCTGCAGCTTGGAAACGGGCAATTTTACTATATGAATAAGTTCATCTTTCAATGAATCTCGAAGAAGCGAGAGAACAGCAAGCTCGTGCTCCCAATAACTAGTAATGTTCATGTCAAGTGCCACCTGTGCCAGCTAAATAATGAAATACTACGAAACAACGAAATAAAGATAAATTACACAACGAAAGCAATCGTTCAAACGTGTAGCACTTCTAGTAGCAAGACGAAATGTGGCAGTTGTGTGTAACTGTTGCATGATGTAGTGAGAAGCCACACAGCATAGCAACAATCCACTAACGATTCCACTCAGTATAGGTACGCCTTCACTCTGTACTGCATTCTTAATTCATTATCGCATCGTAAAATGCATACTACAGTGAAACCTCAGGGTAATTAACGTGTATATAAAGAATTATCGGTTAGCAAAGTGGCACGGATGTACATTTGTAATGCAGTCACTTTTGTATCACGCGCATCTTTGCCATGATGATGTTTGATTATAGATGCAAGCACATTGCTAAACTTTTCATCACTGCTTAATATACATTAGAAATCCAGACATACACTCTGCACAATGAGGGATTACAAGAAAGGATCGTAATGGCTCAACATTCTGATGACCAAAAAAGAAACATGAGAGAATGCTCCGTTGAAAAGTGCTTAAGAGTGATTCTCAAGGCACCTCCACACGACAAAAGATAGCTGTGAAAGAGGGGGGGGGGGAGATGACAGACAAAAATAACGAGATGTTGACGGCACAGACAGGAATGATGTTCGTGAAATGAGCACATTGGTTCAATACCTTGAAAGGTCTTGGACACCTGAAGCACGCGTGTAGAATTACCAGCGGTGACGTGGCAAATTAACACCTGAAATAAATGTGTCCGTGCTTTGTTACGCAATGACGTTCCTGGCTCTCCACCGTGTTTGCGACACTGAGGAACTCCCGGACACACTGCACAAGGCAAGCTTCAAAGCTTATTAAACAGCTTTTTCTATTCTAGAAAGTATTATCTGATGAAGTGAGGACAAGTACCGTATTTACTCGCGTAATCCTCGCACTCACACAATTCTCGCACCCCCCACATCGCCCAACAAAAATACGATTTTTTTTTCCTCGAGTAATTATTGCACCCCCGAAAACTGCTGCAATAATGTCGTCTGCTCTTTCCGGCCACTGATGATAATAGCGCGACTTCATCTGGCGTCATCTCTTAAGCATCAAGCGTACTATTGCACAGAGATTCAATTCAACTCGAGTGAAGCCGAAATGGCCAGTGAGCCTTGCGGCGTGTTTTGTATGTTGCGTCGGTAACCTTGTCAAGTTATGAGGAGACAGTAAAGCTGTACGGCTGCTTTCAAGTTGCAAGTGATAGATGATGCACTAAAGAACGGCAACAGGGCCGCCGGTAGGCCCTTGGGATTGATGGTAAACTTTATTTCTTAAGAAGGAAACTGCCAAAAATTCTGTTAAATAGCCATCAGCCCAGTACTGACGTCCCACGCTTACCTTTTGAGGGCTCCTGTTGAGCGACGAACACTACCGCTACGCCTGAAACGTTCACAAGCTTTGCGTATGGTGTTCCAATTCTCGACTATTTGCTTCCACTTTTTGTGTCTCAATTTAATCTTGTCTTGTGTTGAACCTCTGCTTTTATTGTTGAGGTAAGTTTTAATTAGTACTTTTTAAAGCTTGCTGTTACTTGTTGGTATGAGAATCTCGATTTGCGGTTATTTCGTTTTCTTTTTTGCTCTGTACGTTTTCGTAGAAAGTTTTCCCGTGTAATTCTCGCACCCCCCAACTTTTCATCGGTTTTCCGGCAAAAAAAGTGCGAGGATTATGTGAGTAAATACGGTATACTGAAAAAGTGCCATAAAGTGTCACAATTATGTGACTCCCACAATCTTGCTGACGTGAAAACTGTGTTGGTATTCTGCAATTTTGCGTTCACCTACGTACAAACATAGAAAATGAGGCAGAATTAGAAAAACGTTTACAGCTTTTTTTTTTTTTTTGTTAGAGTACCTTGATGTCGCCTTTGTGCAAATCCCTTGTTCTCAGGAAAAGTGCCCCATTTTCGCAAGACACAGTTTTGAGCAACTACTGCTTAGTATAAATGAAATTGCATTCTTGCCCTTCACTGATAAATAGTATTTCTTTCTAATTGCCTTGACATTTCATGGGCACGTGGCTCAAACCAGGCTTCGGCACATTTGACCGAGACAGGTATTAGAAAAAATGTACAAACGCTCTCCAAACTAGGCCATACAAGTGACCGAGCTCCGTCTACCAGATTATTTTCAGAGTCCAGTCGATGCGACTTAGACCGAGATCTTGCGCTTCGGAATGCGAATGCGCTGCGTCTTCCGTCTCCCCTGTTCCGTGGGAGTGGCAGCCAGCACTGTTCCTTCGAGCGTCACCTCTCCCGAGGGCGTTTGGAATGCCAACATTGTCGGCATGCCGACTGCTGCTACCTTGGGAGCTGTCTTTCTTGCCGTGTGCACGGTGTCGCTCGAAACCGCAAGCTCCAGTCTCCACTTTACACTCCTGCTGCATCTCTGGCCCGCCACTGGTCGCACCGCCGGCTTTCTGAACCGAGACTTTGCTTTCGTTGGCCTCCTTCTTGGCCTTTTTAGTGCTCGGTGGAGCTGCAAACTTTCTGTCGGTGGAAGAGGAAAGTTTCGACTTGGCAACCCTACCTCGCCTGACTCCAGGTTTTGACTTGAGGGTGGATTTGTGGGGCTTGGCCAAGGTGGCAGGCTCTGCCGGCTTTTTTTGACCCGGCTTTCGCTGTGCACGCGCTTGTCTTCTCGGTCTTTGGCTTGGCTGCCACCTTCCTCGGGCGCTTGCTTGCCGGCTTCCCAGTGGCCGACTGTGTTGGCTGCTTGAACGGGACGGTGGTGATGGCAGCCGTCCCGGCACCAGTGGGACCGGGGCACACTTGGAAGGGCTTGGTGTCGAATGCGCTCGACACGCTGACCTTGTGCACCTTTAGAAGGTGCTGCCGCAGGTTTTCGCGGATGTGACAGATGAGGCCGCAGCGATGGCATAGGCAGAGCCGTTGGGCAAGGCTGCGCAGTTCATGGCGCCACAGCTGGAGCAGCAGGCGCGTGCGTACACCGCAACTCGAGCATGTGTAGGGGTGGCTCTCTGTGTGCACCTAGAAGTCAATCACGTTGACATTAAATTCTAGCCCAATAAAAGCTTGAGCACTAATCAGTGCCAGTCATGTATCCCCTGAAACCTTGATATAATGTTCACCATAAATAATTATTGGTTAAAACTAAGTACACAAAGAACAGTGTTGTCATAGATATAGTGGTACAAACACCAAGTTTCTCGCAAATAGTACCTAGAGAAAAATTTAGCGCCAACATCTATGTGAATTTTCTAAGGGGCACTGTGCAATGATGGCAATGACATTAAACCTGTCTGACAGGCTTGTGTTTCCTGGTGTTCAAAAGGCTTGGCCTAAAACGTGAATATGACTGCACAAATTGTAATTTTCTAAAATGAAAGCTTCGTAAGCAGATCCCATTAACCTGTTTCACATTTTAAAACAACCTTTGACCCATCAGCAGGCTACACGCAAACAGCAAAAGGAAAAAACAGACAACAAACCGTCGCAGAGTGAACGCTCACATTTTCGTCTAGTCAGGCTGGTCACGACACTTTAGGCTTTCTAAAGCTGCACATCGAAGCACGAGTTTTCAAGGCGAAATAAAGCTTGTTTTTGTGCAATGCTAAAAAATAGTAGCTCATTTGGGGCTCATTCAATGCAAAATTCACGAAAAAAGCAGTTCTGGCCAGACGCAGCTCCGAGGTGTCTAGTCTCCTAATCAATGACGTCAGTCCAAATCCGGCATATACTGACATTTCCACGTACACAAGTGCTACGGCACTAATTTATCATCCAAGTAATAGTATTTAGCATCAAACCCTACAGGTATGAATGTACGCTTGAGATAAATTTTCAGATATAACAAATTCACCTTTTGTGCCAGATGCGACTTCGTTATTAATGAAGTTTAAGTATAATACGCATCGCAAACGTTAATATCTCTACGTATGCCTCGTAATTGTGTGCTGCACTTCTTTTCTCCCTGTTATGCCCACTTCTATGAGCATACAGTGAACAAATACACTCAAGCTCCTTTGAACGGCTTCTTCCTCGACTTCTGCAACCCTGTTGCTAATAATTTCAATTCCTACTCAGAATCATTTAGATACATGCAAAAATGCAGTGCAGTTGAACTTGTTTAAAGGGGCCCTGCAACACTTCTTGAGCATGGTCAGAAAACACTGCCGATCGGTAGTAGAGGCTCCCGACAACATGCGAGCCAAATGTGATAGCGCAGCACGCGGCCTGGTATTGACAATAAATTATCCAAAGTCAGCTAAGAATTGCTTTCTCTTCTCTCGACAAATCACGCAATATGCCCGAAAATCACAAGTAGTAAGCCCATCAATCAGCCATTGGCTCATTTGAACATGGCGCGCTCGCTTGTTACAGAGATCACCACAAAAGGCCGCTACTTGTCCACACGTGCGCGCGCGATCACACTAAAAAAGCTGCGGATGCGAAAAAAAAATAAGTGCTCAAGGTAACGAGGCACTGTACTTTCTTTGCCCTGCCACCCCTCCCTGCTTAGCTTGCAGCGCTTTCGTCGGGACGAGAAAAAGCAATTGCAGCATGCGACGAATCTTCGTAACTCCACTCGCCTGGACGGATTTTTGAAATTTGTGCACCGTTTAATTCGTGAGGCAATGAGCTCTTCTAGAGGGTTCATTCCATGGTTACTTGAAAAAGTCTTTCAGGGCCCCTATAGGTCTTAGTTATAATAACAGAACTCTCATTTTACAACATTACAACTGTATAAGCAGACATACATTTGTCATGTGCCTGATATTGGCAAGAAACATTGCGAATGTACTTTATATACGAGACAATTTTTTATATCCGTGTTGGTTGTATCACTGTTTAGTACTCACTCCTTTTGTGGAATTCAATGAAACTAAGCCAAAGGTTCCATAACACAGTCATGTTGTCTTGATGGTGATGAACACACCAGCAAAAGGTTTAGTTGAAGACCTCAAGATTCATTAGGGGAAGATGTGCCTCTCAGGTTCAGCAGCAGAAACATCTGGTATTTTGTATTTTGTCAGTATTTGTATGAGTCGCGACACATTCCAGCATAATTACCACAGGTTCAGCATTCACCATAATGCACTCCACTATCCGTGTCCAACGTTAGACTTGATGAGAATATGAAAAAACATTAGCAAAGTGTCAGCTTGCGTGCACCAAGCAATAGGATGCGTGCCAGTTTTAGCCAGTAAGATATAGTCGCCCTGAAAAAGAAAAAAAATTTTTGCCGAAACTCCTAACTGGGTCGTCAGCTGGTGCACACGCATTATTTGTTATTACATTTTTTAAGTTTATAATTAAACCCTACCAACTCGCCCAACTTTTCACTTGTCATTTTTTTTGACCAGCCCATGATAGCACTAATGGACACTAGCCATTATTTAACTGCTAATAGCTAACACTAGGTGACATTGACCACTACTAAAAACCACAGGCCGCGTGCAGGTAAATGTGGCACACCCGGCACTGGTGCTGTACGGGAGTAAATGCGGTCTTCCAGGACGACCATTCCACTTTGACTATTGAGGTGGGAGGCGCACATTAAGATGAGCTTTCGCACAGGGTAATTTTACTAGTTGTGGCTGCTGTTCAATCCTGAATTTACTAGGTGATAATCGTACCACCTATAAAATTAAGTACTGTGTGATACCCACTGCCACCTTGTAGCCGTCTGCAGAACAGGCCCAGTTAAACAAGCACGTGTGACACCAAAGATGGGTGCACTATATTGCGAGCTAATGCACAATACAGGCACGCGTATAAACACAGTTTTGTAAACTTAAATACATTCAGACCTCGTTATAACAAAGTCAGATCTGCCACGAAAATACTTTATATTTGAATATTGATTATAAACATATATCCTTGACACTAAATTTATAACTAAACTATTCCTTGCTTACTTTGCTATAACCGATAATTTGTTATATCCGGGTTCGTTATACTGAGGTCTGATTGTTGAGGAAACCCTGGTGCTGCGATCGTTCAGCCACCATTGGAATGATGGGCAGTGCACAGATTTGCCTAGTTTTCGTGCCTGCATGCTTAGAATGCACTTGTGGCTTAGGTTATTGCAGTGTTTTGCTTTTGTTTCGAATAAAAGAACTGTTCGTTGTGACCTCCGTGATCTGATCAGAAATGGTAAGCCTAAAAGGACGAGGTGGCGAAGTGCCAACTGTCGATGTCGTCCCGTGACAAAGTAGCTCCAAGCCACGCGAAGGCATAACAGAGCCGAAAGAACGAAGATTAGACAAATTTGTGTGCTACCCATCATTCCCATGCGTTGCAGCTCCCACAGACACTAGCGCCAGAGTTCCCTCCAGTGTACTTGTGGGCAACTTCGTGAGTGTTACACCACAGACAGATGCACACTGTTGCAAGCTTATGTACTAGAGCAAGCACACGTGTGAACACCTCACCTGCAAATGCAGGAAGAGGCTTTCCGGCAAGCAGAACCGGGCTGGGCAGTACCGGCAGCAGAAGGCCCGCACGTCTCGATGCATCATGCGGTGGCGCAGGAACACCCGTTGGTTGCGCGTCACGTAGCCACACCGGCGGCACACGGCAACCTCGCCAGCCGCCACGCTGTCCCCGTCCTCCTCTTCCTCCCCTTCGTCCATGGAGGGCAACGAGAACATGACCTTGTGGACGCGGCTGATCGTGGGTCGATGGACTCGCCCGGCCGGAGCTGGAGCCGGTGCGCTCCACGACTTCCAGCGCAAGCCCTGCGGTGGCTTCATGTCATTCGTCCACTTTATCTTTCGCAGCTGCGGAGAGCAAGGACAAGAAAGAAAAACATTACGCACATAACATGCATTATGCGAAGGAAGGACATTGCGCTTGAAAACATTCCTTAATATTCTTTATCGATTTTGAAGTAACCTGCATGTTTCTATGATGATGAGGCAACCTAAAATAGACACCGACAACAACCTTAAAAGCAAGACAATTCGCAGCATCTACCTTCATGTTCGCAGTGCATGCCTAATTTACTTCTCATCATGTTTTTTTTTTCCATACCAGATAGGTTTCCATCTGCCACTTGGTTCCATTTCTGTGCTAATTTCAAATAGTTGGTATGGTTTTAAGACTTTAAAACAGTGTGAAAAGAAAGAACAGAGAGGATCAAGAGCTGTTACCAAGTTATTCGGTGATGTGAAGACAATTACAGAGCAGGCTGGCATGCCGGAATCATCTGGCATGAAAACTGCATGCAAAAAAAACAAAAACGAATAGATGCTCTAGACCCATAGAACGAAAGTTATAGCATGTTGACCATTTGCGACTGAAATCCCAGCTTGACGTTGTCTCACTTGCAAACTTTCAACATACGGTAAGTTTTGTTCAAATAGGTTTATAACATCCGTACTAGTATTCTTACATACAGTTCCCATTAGTTCTCAGCAGATTCAGAAATTGGGCAATTACAGTTAGGTGGTGGAAGCATAATGCAAGGCTATAGTCCCGTGACAACCGGAAAATTACAAAGAGGTTGCACCTGCAGTTAATGACATCTTAAGATGGCAGTTAGGTATGTAGAGACAATTACATGTACTAATTCCTTAAACTTTAAGCCTTTTCACACGTATTACAAGTCAATTTTATCATCGTGACTTATGTCTGTGTCAGTGGCTTTGGATGAATCTTGAATGTTCTGGCAAACTTTAGAGATATGCTCACATTTTAAGAATAAAATTTTCGCTCAAAGCAAATTTTTATTTTACGGTAAGTCCGGCATTGAGATTATCAGAGTGCTTACGCTGAGAGCAAGATGTAATTGGCACAGCTCTCTCAGAGGTGAATAGCAGGTTTACCATGCATTTGTGGGTGGAGATTTAAATGAATTCTTAGGTTGTAGGCAACAGCACATATGAACGAAGTAGGGTGCACAGATGGTGTGGGCAGTGCGTTCTTGTCCACTCAGGACGCGCGGTATACGTAGCGTTCAAAATGTCATGAACTGCATGTACAGTCAATTTACGGTGTGTGAACAGACCTCACATTGCATGGAAGCAGTGTACATGAAGCAGGTTGTGCGCATGTATGAACATATAGGTGTGGTGCAATAATAATAGAGTTTGTTTTTTTTGGAAGCACAGCACAGAGTCAGTACAAGCAACCATACTAACCAGCCCCCCATTTAAGGGCTTCGCACATCCAAGAATGTGAAAAAAGAAATTAAATACAAAACAATCGTTTCGCAAGTGTGGCGTATGATATTGCTGCACGTCCACAGGAGAAGTGACAGGCAATGAAAGCATAGTATCTGCGTGTGACAATCATAAGCAAATATTTCAAGATGAATATGTTCGAACAAAACTGAATCGCAGTATTGCTTCACTTTTGAATATGTCAATACTGTGAGATGCGCGATCCCGCATGCAAGCTTCAAAATTCATGTTATTATCATGGCATCATCACATGAAATCATCAAGGGATGATGCAATCATTCAGCCGCTAAGCACTCTTGCCATTGGTTGGTAAGGGCGCTTGCTCACATCACACAATGTTTTTGCAATGGAACAAAATTTTTCTTCACCTTGACATTCTTGTACTCATCACGGTTCGGCGGCATCCATCCTAACGACACTTTACCCAGGGCAGCCCGGAAGCGCTGTTTGGCCTCCATCCAATAATGTGAATTGTGGGCAACAGGGCGCTTCTTCAGTTTGTCCCATTCCTGAGAAGAAAAAGAAATAAAGGAGCTGGAGGCAGATTGCACGGTACTGTCAAAGCAGTACTAAAGCGAACATCTTGTGTCACACTACGCTCACCTTTTTGGGAAGCCACATCGACTCCACAACTGCCGTGCAAGGCCTTAATTTCTCAAGAAGTTTGTGCACGTCAAAAGACACTTTGTCCTGAGATCCCCAACGACCCCAATGCGTCACATTTACACTGCATGGAGGGGATAGCCGACTGCAGAGTACTGTCAAAGCTTCTGTCATCTTGTGTCACACTACGCTCACCTTTTTAGAAAGCCACATCGACTCCACAACTGCAGTACAAAACCTCAATTCCTCGACAAGGCCGTGCATGTAAAAGAGGTTTAGTCTCGAGATGGCCAATGATCACAATGTGTGACAACTGCACTGCCTAACGTGGAACACTTGTAGCAATTCGTAGCTGCAGGAGACTAACAGTTACGCATTGGGCATTCTTCCTTAACTTAGGTTAAGAATGGATGCGCGAACATAAGCTACTAATTAAAAAAAAATGACAGCAAAATGTGACAACACAGACCGAGCAAAAGATCTGTGGAAAGACTCACCAAGAACACAACACAGTCATCTTTTGTCCACTGAGCTGCGTTCTTGTGGTACCAGCCGATCTGAAAGATGCCTTGGTCACGGTCGACCCACTTCAGGCGTTCACCGAACGTGGCGCTGTCGAGGTGCGGGATCAGAAAGTCCTGAAAAGAAATCAAGATGTCATGCATTTTCTTTCTTTTCTTTCTCGCATTGAAAGCAAAAGTTTACTGAGAAGGGAGAATACGTAACCGGTAAGCAAGACCGAAATATAAAAAACAAATGTAGAGCCAACTTAATCGCTCTCTTGAGATTGAATGAAGACAGTCTTGCTGTCACAACAGGGTGCAGTCAACGTTAGCCGTAATTTAGCAAATAGACCCTTTTCAAATATTGTAAAGCTAGCTTTCTCGCGACGCAGTGAGCCCAACTAATGGAAGTCGGTCACTTCTACACACAGTGGTTTCAAGTGTAGTTTGCTTGGCCGTGATGAAGAAAATGTATATGCAGCTCTTTGATAGAGACATGCAGAGTATAGGCAAGCCTCAGCATATGCAACTAGAACTTCATCTACAATTGAACGTGTGCCGCCACTAGTATTTGTGCGAATGTGCAATGCAGTGAAGTGTACTTACGGATTATGAAAAGGGTCTACACTAGACAACATTAGCCAGCGAAGGCAGTTTGCAAATAAATACAAACCTCCACCCAAGTCATGTTGACTGCAGTCAGAAATTTATTATCGTAGATATAGTTCCAAAATTTGTGCGGTGTGAAATTCGAAGTTCTACGAATCCAGACAGCAGTGTGCAAAATTCAGTGGCAACAATGAAACATCTGGTGTATGGAACAGTTTAGTTATCACACCCCTTCGGCCTCCAAATGTGCTTGCATTAACACTAATACTGAAAAAAGGTAGTATGACAGAGCCTCAGCTGATGCTTTGTATTTTCTTTGGTAATAGAATGTTTGTGACATGAATTTTACCGTCTGAATGATCTTTCTGCATCAAGAGAGTTGACCGGCATGGACAGGCATGTGAATATAGTGGAGGAAAGTTCTCTAGTTGGGTGCAGTTGACCGGCTTGGAGAGCCATGTGAGTACTGAGGAGGAAAGTTCTGGAGTGGGGCGTAGTTGACAAGCATGAACAGGTATGTGAGTATCGCAAAAAAAAGTTCTAAAGTGAAGCATAGTGGATCAGCATGAACAGGTATGTGAGTACAGTAGACAAATCCGAAAGAAGTGCATAAAATATTCGTATCAGCCCGAATTTGTATGAACCAAAAACAACTTAATGCTGATAAAAATGATAAACAAGAACTTCATTGGCAGCTACAACTTGCTGAAAAAAAGTCTGTGATGTTCTCTTGAACTTTCCTGCCTTTACTGTCTCTTAATTAAGTGCCGCGGCTTCTTCGCTCATGCTGCTGATGCAGGGCGTCCACGGTTGACATCAAAGCGTGCAAAAGTGGCCAAACTTATTGGAAATTCACTGGCTTCTCCTCTTAAGCAGCCGGAAAACCACGCCGCGAAGTTGATGAAAAAAAAAAGCCCTGGAGAATTCGAATTAGAGAATTCAAGCGAAAATGCCAGTGCGGCCGGAAAACCACACCCACTGAAAACATTCATATTCGTTCTGCCCCTCGTATACATGCCACCCCCGCTGCCGCTTCAGAATTCATCCCATTTTGTCTGTTTCTTGAGCACTGATGTTCGTACAGAGTTATAATTATGCATACAAGGCACTTAAAAGAAACAGTTTACACCTTTACTAACAATATTTAGGAAGACCCGCCAACCGAAATGACACGAGCGGGCACAGGTGTGGCGACGGATTCAGCCGGCAGTGCAAAATTAAGACACGTTCGGGCAAGCAGACTCGCTGTTGCTGCACCTTCTTCTATTTCCGGTGTTATCAGCGATCGTAATCCAAATCAGGCTCTCGACGACCGTGTCCTTGTCAAGGCTGTGAGCTTTGACGTGCCGCGCGGATAGTTCGCGATAGCGTCAACGCAACTCACCACCGATGCCTTTGCCGCCATGTTGATTTGCGGATCGTTGTTGACATCAGGTGGTTTGAGAGATAGAGCAGCCGGTGAAGCCAAAGCCGTGAAGCAAGAAGGCGCTATGCTATCGCATGGCGGGAAAATTGGTCTCGCACCGATTTTTGCGCGGCAGCCTCGCGGCGTGTTTTTCCGGCCACCAAAGCGAGGAAAATTCCGAGGAGTTTTGCCGCATTCACTCCATTTTATTTCAAGAGTGAACGGGCCTTCCTCCTACTGACAAGCCACGTTGCGCCACTGGCATGCAGTGGTCAATCACACATTCGTATCATCCGCGGTGGCTGGGGAAACCATTCCTATAACACCGAATTACGGTGTATTCTAGATAATGTAGTCCATCCAAACAACCTTAAAATTCGTATCATAGCAAAATTCGCATCAACCGTAATCATCTCATTCAGATTCACTGTATTGTAAAGAGAAGTTCTAGAGTGGAGCCTAGTTAGCCATCATGAACAGGCACGTAAGTATTGAGAATAAAAGTTCTGGAGTTGGGTGTACCATTGCCAAGGAAGCCAGAACACGAAAATCTACTTCTTGACTTTTCATGTTTTAAGAAAAAAAATAGTGCTAAGCTCCCATAATTTGCAGCATTCATGAGGTCTCTTATTATTTGTGCCAAAAAAAAAACTAGCTAATACACAGTGGTGTGCAAGTTTGGAAGTGGTGGATGGAGTGCAAGTACTTTTTGTACAAAAAATTTCTGAACACTGGATATTGCTAGAGCCAACGTTCTGACAAGTGATCTTTTCTCTTTCAGTGCTAGCAACTTGTTCAACAGCCTGTTCAAGCTAGCCGCTGTCTTGAAGAAGAGAAGAACACATGTCGAAATGTTGGCTCCAGCAATATGCTGTGTTCAAGGATCTTTTCTCTCTTCTAGCTTCCACCATCTCTTGAGCTTCCTTGTTCACCTTGGGCCGCATTTACATAGTTGCCTCATTTGCATTTTCAACATGTGATGACAAGCGCCAAGGTTTTTGCAGACGAAAAAAAAAAAAAGTCACAGCTTTGCCGCAAAGGCGAAGCAATGAACACGATAGCGACAAATTGGAAGGTTACGCGAAGAATGGCAAGCAGACCGAAACGCACCCCGTGTTTTTCACGCACGAATGACGCACGAAACGTACTCACAGGTACAAATGAACACGAATAAGCACCTCAGTTGTTACTTTGCTGTGTCTGAAAAGCCCGCCCTTTTCGCAAATGGAGACTGTGCGGCGGGTGCAGTGACTTTTGTGCACCCGGTAACTACAACAGAATCATTCAGGTGAAAGCCCAAGACGTACGATTCTCCCCAACGCGAGATAAGCGGCCGCACGTGTGAGCGTCCACTCCACCCACCTCTCCGCGGGGCAAAGTACGCTTGGGAGATGAAAGCACGTGCCGCTTTTACCGCCATCTTGCTGGTAATGCTGAAAAATCGGTAGTTCCCCCGAGATGGCCATTTATACAGTTAAACCTCGTTATAACGAGACAGGCTATAACGAAATAATGGATATAACGAGCAAATCCTAATTCCCCTTAGAAGTCCCCATACAAACCAATGTATTCAAAACCTCATTTTAACGAGGCAAAATTTGCCTGTTATGGGATATAACGAACAAATTTTGTTAGGAAGTAAAGTTTTGAGCTGGTGTCACGACAGTGCACAACGCGAATTTGAGACGGCGCGCAACGCGAGAACTAAACTCCCGCCACGCGCCCTCCAGCAACGCCCGCAAAGCAGACGGCACGCGCTGTTTCCGGAGGAGAGGTCGCTGCACGTGCGCCGCTTGGCTACCACCGACAGCAGAGCGCTCCGCAGCTCCGCGAACGTGTCGCCCTTTTCTTTTTTTTTGTGTCTTCTTTATATTCACCCTCTCCCCTTTCTCATAGTGCTGAGGCGCGTTTCCTAATCTTACATACCCCCTTCCCCTAGAGTAACCAGTGCCTAGAGGGAAGCGCAAAAGAGCGCCCCTTCTGCCCCTTCCTCTTCACAGTCACTTTCTCTGCAAGTGTTGTCGCTCGCCGACGTGAGCCGCGTTGCTTTTGCGTGCGTGTTTCTTCTCTTTTTCGACCGCTTCCGCCTTATCTTTTATCGTGCTGCGCTCGTGGTTCCAGCAACATGAGTGCGCCAGGCGGGAAGCGAAAGCGCATAACGCTAGATCAGAAGGCGGCTATGATAAGAGCCGTCGAATCGGGGACCAAGAAAGGCAACGTGGCAAGAGACTGGCGTATCGACGAGCACACTGTCAAGCATCTTGAGCAAGCAGGAGTCCATCATCGACGCTGTTCCACGTGGCGTGAAAGGAAGCGCTAAGAGGATGAGGGCACCTGCCTTTGAAGCGGTTGAAAGGGCCGTTTTTAAACGGTTCTTGGACACGCGGGCCGTGAATCTGCCGGTGAGCGGCGCCTTGCTGCAAAGAAAAGCGAGAGACTTTGCCTGCATCATGGGCTATGACAACTTCGTAGCATGTTCGGGTCGGCTCCAACGCTTCAAGGAGCGCCACGACATTGTCATGAGAGCGGTCTGCGGCGAATCGCAATCTGTTGACGAAGCAGAGGCTACCAAGTGGGCGAAAGAAAACATCGTGCGGCTGCTAGAAAAATACAGCACGGAGGATATTTTTAACGCGGACGAAACCGCTCTCTTTTTCAAGATGTTGCCGTACAAGACGTTAGCCCTCAAAGGCGAGCCGTGCCATGGCGGCAAACAAAGTAAGCTGCGGATCACTGCGTTACTTTGTGCAAACATGACCGGCTCTGAGAAGCTGCCAATTTTCGTAATTAGCAAAAGTGCATCCCCTCGCTGCTTTAAGGGGAAGAGGCAGCTCCCAGTCAAGCACGTAGCCAATCGCAAAGCCTGGATGACCAGGGAGATTTTTTTAAAATGGCTTTGCGAATGGGACGAGAAGCTGGCAAAGGCAAACCGCAAGGTGTGCCTTGTTTTAGATAACTGCACCGCCCACCATACCGCTGCCGTGTTTCAAAACATCGAGCTGCTGTTCCTTCCTGCCAACTGCACAGCAAAAATACAGCCGCTTGACCAAGGCATGATTATGTCGCTGAAGGCAGGTTACCGCTGCTCAACATGAGGATGAAGCGAGACACCGATGTTGAC